TCGCGTGCCTGCTGAAGGTCGAATTCTTTGGCCAAGACAGGGTAGGATGTAAAGCGGAGGTGATGGCCCCCACAGGCGGGTGCCTGCTGAGGAGAAATCCCCAAACTGAGGGTACGGGCCGTCTTAGTCAAAAGAAGATTTTTCTGGGTTCTGGTAGCAATTACCTGTTGATCGCTACGTTCCTAGGTGGGCTTTTGGTGCAAAACAGAAAGAGTATCATTTATTATACGGTTCCCAGTCAGTTCTGAGGCTCTATTTTCTCTGGCTTTTCCTTATATGCATATCGTAAAGACAGTTCTGCACAAAGTCTGACTTAGCAAAGTCGTGCATAGCGATATTGTCTTAATATTTGCAGACTTGTCTGATAACTACCATCTGTTGGATGGAGTTTTGTAACCACTGTCAGGAAAAGGGCACCTATTTACTGAATCGTAATTTTAATCTCTAACTTTACCACAGATTTATAGATGCATATAAAATACTTAATGTGTATGTACACACTGGTAATAATGTTTCTTATACACTGGATTTTTTCTTGTTCATGGGTCATAATTGATTGTTTTAACAGAGATGTGCCTCTTCCAGTTAATTGAGAGGAAAGACATTTAGTCAGTTATAATTTACCCATCATATACGTTTTGTTTCTCTTCCATACAGCATCAATTTCCCTGGAGAGACATATGAAAACGTGAGCACAAACTTGAGACTCACAGAGTGTGATGTCTCTTCTCTGTCCGTGTATGGAGACTACAATTTACAGGTCAGAGCCGAGTCAGAAAATAACCATTCAGACTGGGCGACCGTCAGATTTAAGCCAATGGATGACAGTAAGCCTTTTTCTAATCTTCCACAAAAAATATTGTCTGCTATTAATGCACCTTTACAGTTTGGCTCCATAAGAAAAGCTGCAGCATGCAGATCACTTAAATTTAATTACATTGAACTATAAAATCTTAGTTGTAACACTTCCGTTATTTGAAGGCAGAAGTTGCTGTCAGGAAGCATAGTAGGTTCATTATTATAGTAGATGTTAGTACTGGTACTTGAAATACCTTTTGAGGAGGTTTTAAAAAAATTTATTTTTTTCCCTTAAAATGAGGCTTCGTTTATATTTCTCAGCCAGGGAGAGCTTTTCTTCAAGGATTCAGACTTCCTGTGTATCTAAATAAGTTCAATTACTTTCTGCTTCATTGCTATGTCAGGCAAAAAAGCTTTCTTTTTATTTTTTTAATTAAAAAAAATTTCACAGCGAAGGATGAATTTTTACTCAGAAATCTTCATTTGCCATTCTCTTAGTGAAGCTTTACAGTCTTTTGTGAGCGATGCCTTGCATTGGAGTGCACAACAGAGATGTTAATCATGTTGCTGTCACCTGAGCTTGGGAACGAGGGAGTGGTTTTTACCAATAGGCGTCCTTTATTTGTACATTCTTACGCCACTCATAAGCAAAAATGAAATTATTTTAGATTACAAAGTTCATGTTACCCAAGCCTTTTTTCTCCTCGCAGCTGTTAATACAAAACCATGCAGGAAGCTTCTGTTACACCTCATCTTTGAGAAAAACTTTTAAAAATCCTTTTCTTTCTTGTTCTGCCTTCATTTGCTTGAATTTCATCATTCTGTTCCTTGGATTTCAGAGTGTAATTTTTCAGTTTACAGCCTTGTTTTCCAAAAGGCTTTTATTGGTTATCTCTCTCCAAAAGCATAATTTTGACATAATTTGATCTGCCTAGAACAGAAGCACTGAAACGTAGCACAGAAGAAAAAAAATACGATGTTGCAAGTATAAATTACAGCCAAAAGAAAGTGTAATACAAAAAGTATGGAGATGGATTTTCAGAGCCGAGCGCAAACGTGTAAATCATTAACAGAGTTGTAGTTTGACGTATGTTTGAAAGAGCGTGTGGCCTTCAGAGCAGGCTTGGCTTTGGAAAGGCAGCTTATTCCTGAACTGGGGAAAGCTGGATACAAAACTACTGGAAAGAAAGACCTGGGAGTAGTGGCCAACGGACCGAATCTCTGAGGAGGACATGAGGATTTTTAATGTTGTCATAGCTGGTCTGAGCAGGGCATCATGATAAAAATACCTGATATTCCTTTCTGTGTTATTATTTCTGCTAGTGCTTTTGTAAGAAATTCCACACTGTATTGCAGGAATAGCCTGAGAAAACCAGAGTAACCGAGACCCTCCTCACGTTATTTTTTGCAAGTTCAGCAGCATATTCATGAGCATTACATGAATGCATGGTCCAGCAAGTAGATCTTTTTTTTTTTTAAATTAAAGAAGCACATATTTCTAGAGGAATGCAAAATTGTCTGTATATTGAGCTCTTCCTTTCTTAGACACTTGATAGCGTGGCTGTAGCCAGGCAGAACTTTAGTAGAGGCAGCCAGGGCAGAGCTGTTTGTTGGAATTACAGGAGACTTTAGTGGAGAGCTCATTGCAGACACAACGTAGTTGGTAACTAAGCTACTCAGGAATTAATTTAGGTAGTGGCATAAAAACATAATAAGGACCAGCCATTTTCAAAATACGAGAATATACTATTCAGCCTAAGGAGCTCAATCTTCAAGACATGCAGAAATAATTCAAATGTTTCAGTTTTTCAAAGTGATCACAATGAAGGAAACATTAAATCACTTCACTAGAAGGTCTCCTCGGAAAAGACAGATGTTACAACAGCTTGGCCCAGAAAGAGAAGTGAGTGATAACCTATAGAAAGGGTCCTTCCTCTCCCAGGAGTCACCACAGCTGGCAAAAGAGAACTGAGTTAATTTAGCTATGGGAAATGTAGTCTGCAAAAATATCTGTTATTTAACTGCAAAAATTAATCCCTTTCAAGATCAGTTCTATAAGGAAAGGATTTATTTATGCCTGACCCATGAAAGGAAATTACTTTCTTCTAATAGACAAAATTATTTGAAGCGTGAATTGTCACAGGTCGTGTAAAAATGTCAAATTGAAAACAATGTGAAACTGAATTCCTTTCTTTCTTCTCTTCCACCATTCTAATATATAGCAGTTGTTGGGCCACCTGATGTAAAAGTGAAGTCTGAGTCTGGGTCCCTGCACGTGGATTTCATAGGCCCTTTTGCTGAACACGAACATGACAAGTGGCCTCTAAAGCAATATTATGGCTCGTGGAATTACAGAATACTGTACTGGAAGAAAGGCAGCAATACAGAGGTAACTTCTGCTTCCTGCATCTTGTGACTCCGTGACTTTGACATATGCTTTTCTTGGTAAAATACCGTACTGATGAAGTTCCGAAAGCTAACAGTACTGAAGTAAAAATGTATCTCTACTAATTACAGTGTAATGAAGTCTAGTCACTACAACTGGTATTCAGAGCAAATGGCAGGTAGCTGTGTAGTTCAACAGTAGCATGGATATAATTTGCTCTTTCCATAATTAGAAATAACTGCTATGTTATGAGAATTTATTCCCTCAGTTTAGTGATGATTTATTTGTGATGCAGTCTGCCCCACCAAATCTCTTTATTTCACACATACAAACAAGGGTAAACTCAGAAGCTGTAATGTCAGCAGTATCTGTGATCATGGCGATAAGCTGACTTAGATGCAAATCTCATGTCGTCCAAGTATTTGTGCTCTTTGTGGGACTCTGGACTTTGAATACCACCATGGCTGGGGCCTTATATTAACTGTGGTCACCTTCACTTCTTCAATTTCTATCAGTTGTAGTTCGCTTTCTTCCTCTTGTGGACAGCCTCTTCCACAGACAGGTCTGTTATTGAGCTCAAAAGACTTCTCCATACAAAATGCATGGAGAAAGGTCATAAATAATATATTAATTATAGGGTCATGAGTTCTATTACAGGAAAAAAGGAAGCCCTTTACCAGAAGGTATCAGTCATAGTATAATTAGTGCTTTGTACATCAGTACAATTTTCACATAATAGGACTCCACTACATATAATTCTGATTTGTATTTGTTACCCTGCAAAATTCTTTGGCATTCAATTCCAGAAAATGAAGGATCATCATTTCCCAAAAAACAGACTGGTTTTCAATTCCCAAACTGCAAGAAATGAAGGTATTTGTATCAGAAATAGTGTGGCCAGCAGGAGTAGGGAAGTGATCGTGCCCCTGCACTCGGCACTGGTGAGGCCGCACCTCGGATACTGTGTTCAGTTTTGGGTCCCTCACTACAGGAAAGACATTGAGGTGCTGGAGCGTGTCCAGAGAAGGGCAACGAGGCTGGTGAAGGGTCTGGAGAACAAGTCTTATGAGGAGCGGCTGAGGGAACTGGGGTTGTTTAGCCTGGAGAGAAGGAGGCTCAGGGGAGACCTTATCGTGCTCTACAACTACCTGAAAGGAGGCTGTAGCGAGGTGGGTGTCAGTCTCTTCTCCCATGTAACAAGTGATAGGAGGAGAGGAAACAGCCTCAAGTTGCACCAAGAAAGGTTTAGATTGGATATGAGGAAAAATTTCTTCACCGGAAGGGTTGTCAAGCACTGGAACAGGCTGCCCAGGGAAGTGGTTGAGTCACCCTCCCTGGAGGTATTTAAAAGACATGTAGATGTGGTGCTTAGGGACATGGTTTAGTGGTGGACTCAGAGTGTTAGGTTTATGGCTGAACTCAATGATCTTAAAGGTCTTTTCCAACCTAAACGATTCTATGATTCTATAAATTTCCGTAGGGATCAAAGAAGCAAAAGGCATAGACTGTGTAACTTCATAGGTTGTTTTTCAAGTGGATGCTTGCTTAAAATGTTGAAACCTAGCTAGAGTCTTCTCACCCCTGAGAAAGAATCTGTTACTATGTAATGGGGCATGTTGTAGGGATTCCTATACTCTGCAGGGACCATATAGTTACAGGGACATAACCAATCATGCCTCTAAACAGCAAGTTGCATCTGCTGTCAGTCACCTAATAGCTTCCACAAGCCTTTTTCTTTCTCTGTCATTTTCTTTCTTTTGTCTAGATCATCCATCCTACTTGCTCCATCTCAAATTAAATTATGTTTGTCTGTGACAGCACTCTTCGTTGATCTCATTTGGTTAGGCAATTGTTTCTCTCTGCAAGCAGATCTCATTTATCACATCTCTGTAGGCCTCTTTAGCCTAAAACTTCATTAATGCTGCTAGAAGCAGCCAGAAATTCAGTGGTGTGAGTGGTCTCGCGCTCTAACCACAGGTGAAATCAATGTAGACTTATCAGTTATGTGACATAGGCAGGGCATTTCATTCTGCCTTTAAAAGCCTCATTCACATTGCGGCTATAACTGCTAGGATTTGTGCTACTAAATGTGATTTTAATTACTTAGCTAGTCCATTCAGTGGACTCATGCTTTTCAAATTTTTTGTATTCTTCTCTGTTATTAGGTAGCTCACATAGATACTAAACATAACTCTGAAATATTATCTCAGTTGGAGCCGTGGACAATATATTGTATTCAAGTGCAAGCCGTTATCCCCGAGTGGAACAAAACAGGGGAACTGAGCGGAGAGCTTTGTGAGCAGACAACCCACAACGGTAATACCTGGTGCATCGCAATGGGACACGCGCTGTAGGGAACTAGGAGATGTGCAAAGCCATTCCAAATGAAAATCGGCGTAGCGTGTAAACCTTCCAAAAATGGATGTGTTTGTTACTTTAGCATTGTTTAGTCGTTAATATGTGTGCACCTTTGGAGCGGAGGAGTTGGAAACGAAGTGAAAACTACAAGCAATATAGCACCGATGGCATGACGCTTTACTTTGCCTCAGAGGCCTGAAAATGAGAGTTAAATGGACCATAGGCTCTTCACTGATCACGCTGTGTGCCTGAATTTCTTTTACTATTAGCTGTATTCATCATCCTATGAAAGCCTTTGTTCCCTATATCTGTAACTGAGAAAGGAATTGGACCCTGTGTTGCAGTCTGCTTCATCTGGCGATATTGCCAGTGTCTATCATGAGGCTAGGCCACGATGCTCTTTCTCTGTGACACACAGCAGTTATTAATCAATAATATAAACAATTATTTTGTCTCGATGCTTTCCTTTTCATTTTGAAGGCAGTTAAGTACCAAAAGCGCTTTCCTTTCCAGCCATGCCACCTTAGCTGCTGTCTGTGGAGTCCAGCAATAACCACCACGTGGTCTGACCCTGTCGTCTTAGCAGGGAGCTTTATGTCCCTAGTTAAAAGAAAGGATAGAGCCCTAGATACTGTCTTTTTCACAGGTATAATGTGTATTTCAAGTAACTTACACCCTTGGATAACTTGTGGAAAATCAGAGACCCAAGTTGATGAGGAAGCCATCTAGGGGGAGGCTGGGGAAGCTACTGGGCTGACCTGTTTCTCACACGTTTTTCCACATAAAATGTTTCCTCATATATTTTTCCCACATGTATATTATCTGCGTGCACTGCAGTTGAATTGCAGGTGGGTTTTGGTGGTGGTTTTGCTTGTTAGTTTGTGGTAAAACAGTGCTTAGCAAGCGTAGGTTGGTTTAAAACATTTATACAGTGATGTATGGATACATTTTCATTCCCATTGCCTGGTGTGAAATCCCCGTGCATGAGACAATTTTTTTAAAGGCTCAATAGTTTAGAATTTTACAGACTTTTATCCCCTGCTGTCTTGTCTTTGCTGCCATTTTTACACATTCCTTTAAGAGAAAAGTGGATGCCTATACTCTGGTAGTGTTATGTGTCAACTCCTACGCTCCTGAAACACCAAAGAGCGTACAATAGCTTTTTACATGATATCACCTTGTGGGTGGTTCTCTGGGTCTTTTTTCCTTTAATCATTTGCCTCGTAGTGCATGTAGAATCACCAGTACGTGTAACTGTAAATGTCTAAATATGATGGCTTGTAAGCTTACTTTATTGAGAACTTCCTCAGCCTATTCAGACTAAAGATTTAAGAGCTAAGAGGTATTTTGCATCTGGAAACAAAGACTTATGTTTGCAGTTACAATTTTGTAATAGTTTGTGGGGTTTTTTTAAATTCCATAGAGAAAGTGATAATTTGAAAAGAATATATTCAGAAATTAATAATCACAGTTTAATTTTTTTTTTCTTGTCCCTTGCAGGTGTAACTCCTGTGTGGATAATTGTGACCGTTCTTATAGGATCAATGTTGGTCGTTGTAATATCTGTTCCTGTTTGTTTCTTCTCCTTTTTGTATCTATATCGACTCACCAGACATGTTTTCTGCCCTTCATATGTTTTCCCACAACACTTGAAAGAGGTTTGTTTTCTACCTAACACAATTAAAATCAGACTTTTCAGCAGAACCATCTGCCTTTCAAAGGCCCTCTGTGCCAAAACCTTTAGAGCTTCTTTTATTTTGCCTTCTTTCATTTGCACCTGATTGTTAGCCATGTGTAAAGTGCAGACTATTCTGGACTTTCAGACTTTAGACCTTAAACTTTTAGTTTTAGACTGTAAGAAGCAATGCTGGTTATCTGTTGTTATGTAGTTGTTGTGTATGGTAAAACTTGCTCTTCTGCCAAACACAAAAAGCCGTTCAAATAGGCATAAATTATGAAGTCGTGAACTTTGGAAAAAGCTGACAAAGGGAGGTACTTTTCAGTATGAGAAAGGTAGTGGAAGTTAGTTTATTTAATATTCAATTTCTGGCATTATAAGGTCATAAATTTTGCATGAATGTTACCTCAGTTTTTTCATCACGTTCTGTGGCACTGCATAGACATAAATAAGAAGCAGTGAATTTAGACTTCCTTTTGAAGTATACCGTTGTATAATAAACTCTAAAATACTGTCATTCTGAATTGTTCTGCACAGAATGGTCCAAAATATTTAAAAGCTGAACAACTTAAAGACTTGGCATAGACTTTTAATCCTAAAGCAACTGCCTAATTTGTAATATGAAGCTCCATATGGCTTAGAAACGGGATGTTTTCTTTTGTCTTGAAGTGAGAGAATAACAGGTGTTAACCTTCAGTTCCTCTTTTTAGATAGTGAACAACTGAGCTATCTGTCTCTACTATCTCATCCTAGACTTAAAATTGCACACTTGTTCTCCTGAAACAAAGTTCTTTCGCAAATATAATAATGAGTTTCAATGTAAGTAAATAATATGGTGAAATCTGAAAATTCAAGATGAAATGAGAGCAATGTATGTTAGCCATTCCTGTTGGGGAATACCACTGACCCTGTTACCCACATATCAACTTAAAAAGGCTGTATCAGAATCTCCTCCAAGAAACAAGGCTATACAGAATGTTACGTACGCTAAAGTTAGCAGCCTGTACTCTTCTGAGTTTCTTGCAGTTTCTCTGGGTCTTTCGTTTGGACTCATTTAGAGTTCAGTAGACTAAGGCTTTGCAGCTGACTTAGCAATCACCTTGTGCTTTAAGTTGAGCACATGCTCAGCACACAGTAGTTTGCTGAACCCGGAGCTCAGCTGTTGGGAAGGTGGCATTGCTCTGATCAATAGAGGATACGGTCAAATTTCAATTTGCTCACAGGTTTCTCACAAGAAAGGCAGAATTTTCATTTTGTGCTAGTGGGTTGTAGTGGTTAATCACAGTAATCAAAGGTCAGTCGTGCTTACCTAAAATGACATTTCTCAAAGGCAGTAGTTTCACTACATGAACATTTGAGGTTGCAGGTTACTGACAGAACATTTCAAATCACGGTTTGCTAGGAAAAGGTCTAATAGTAATAATATTAGTATTTATTTTTGTAATTACAGTGAACAGGACTCCTGATAGAGCAACTTGTTTCTTATGTAAAATGCACTAAAGTAATAGACAGGGGTCAGGTCACAAGAACAAAATGTACTCCTCCAGCCACTACCAATAAAATGAACTGCCACTTCAGCTGCCAAAATGAGTGGTTGACATGTTATTACTGTGTTGAGTAGGTGTGCTGTTCTTCTGTTGACATTCAAAATACAGTCATGACATCCTGCGAAGTCCATGTTGATTCTTGAGGCCGGTTCCATCTTATCAGCAGAACAGGGAGTGGGAGGAAGTTGTGCTATTTCGGTACTAAAGTTAAGTCCTCTTTCTCACTGAACTGCATAGCCCCGCAAATCTCCCTCCCGCTCCTTTGCTTGACTAAATGGTTATGGTTTATGTTGACATTTAAAGCATGACTATTTGATGTCTGAGCAGGCAGCTCTCTGAGATGGCAGGAACAATTCACATCTTTTGGAGCTATTTGACAAATCTCTCTGTGAACTCCTGCACCTACAGTCAAGTCACCATTTTTAGGTTTTCATAGAATCATTAAGGTTGGAAAAGACCTCTAAGATCATTGAGTCCAATCAAACAAAACCTAGGTATTTTATTTTTTTTAAGAAAGTTTATATTGCAAAGAAGTCACTAACCCCTGGGGTGTCTTCTTGCAAATAAAGGCACTTCCGACTTGCTTCCAAGCCTTGCACAGGATGTTAAAGCGAGCAGAGAGGTTATTACACTGTCGCCACTCTGGGACTTCTAAGGATTGAGAAAGCCAATTGATGCGTGGAAAACAATATAAAACATATTTCTAAGCAAACAGGATGGTATGTCTGGTGCAGCCTAATTCTCGTTTCCTCTTTCCTTCACAGTTTTTGAGCAAGCCTCCCAGTGGTTTGCAGTTTTTTTCTCCACTCCCGCAAGAAGAGCATCTTTTTTATGACAAGCTAACTGTCATTTCAGAAGAATCCAAAAATCAAAGCGATGAGACAGGGGATGAGGCCAGCAAGACAACAGAGTACCTTCAGGACTCTGAACAAGAGCATTCTGATTCAAGAATAGTACCAGCTTCAGAAAAGGCCTAAATGCACTCCTCATACTTTACTTGGACCAGAAGAAAAGCAAATGGGCTGTTGAGTTTATCTTCTTCTTGCTGCATTCTTAAGACAGTAAAAAACCATATACGAAAATGTGTACACAGACTTTTGACAGAATCATATTATTTTTTTTAAAGTACAAGAAACTTGACTATAAATGAGGAATTAAATGATATGTAATTTTTGCCACTGTTTGTAGTGGCTCACTGTTAAGTTGTAGCAATACCTAGGACTGTATCATGACATTAATTTAAAAAGCAAATGTCATATATATATATATATATATAAAAACAGTTAATTTAACTTTGATGAGCTATTTATTGCAAAAGCTAATCAAAATGGCATATTGTGTAAAGTTTATAAAAGAAAATCATATATTATAAAGAAAGACCTGATCTGACTTTTTTTTAATGAGAAATTGTGTGTATTTCTTAAGGATATCCCTAGTGGCATAATCTTTCTATTGAATATTTTTTTACCTGATGCAAAACTGTAAAGTTATTATGATGGTACGAACTTGGTATGAATAAACCAAACACAAATATTCAGTGTGTTTTGCATTGCAAGGTGTTACTCATACTTCATCACTAAGGATAACGGGAACGTACCACTGCACTGCCAGATAGCCCTCTATGTCCAGGTATTGCTCAGTCCCCTGAGCCTCTGCCCTGCAGTTTCTATGGCTAATTAAATTTTGCCTACCTAATCCAGAGGCCACTGAAGTCTGTGGAAAACTTCGCAGCTGAAGTGGGAGTTAAAAGGTAGGTTCATTTTATTTATCTACTGATACGTATTCTTAATTGAAAAAAAGTAAATCCAGGTTGATGTGACTCCCATGCTGCATAACACAATCTCACCTGCATAGCCCTGTTCATGCATATGAAGGTTACGTCCACACCAACATCGGGGCGTAAAGTGTGACCTTTGCACAGGTCAGACACTCGCAGGTTTTGTGAGTGATGTGAATTTTTTTGTGTGTATTATTACATCAAAACAAGAGTGAAAAAATTAAATTCTGTCAGCAAAAGTAACTTGCCATGAGTGAAGTTGTGTGTAAAACATAACTTGATGTGGGAACTGCAAAATTTTTGGCTATGGTTTTAAGGTTTGTTAATTAATGTGTAAATATTCACTTCTTGGGAACTGTTGCAGGAAGAAAACATAAGGAGAACAGGCACTGATTCTTTGTACCACACAGCTATATGTAATCTGCACATGCTTTTTCTGCACTTTTTAATTTTCATCATATTTTGGTTTAATGTGGAATATGGAAAAAAATGGGGAAGCATTTTCATTTTGGTTTTTTTAAGGCATTTTGTTTCACCGGTGCTTTTCTTCACCTCTCGCCAAAGCTGCTCTGTGAGTGCAGATCCTAATGAAGGCTGATGTCCTGTGTCTGATACACCCTTTCCACTGTAAAAATTCAGCTCCCTGTGTGTTCCCTATCCCTCCTTCCACAGTAGCAGCTTCTTCTGTATATGCTTTTTTTTTTTCCCCCCGGCTTTCAGAAAGGCAAAAAACTCATAGCATAGCTCATGTGACCAATGCATGTGCTGGTTGGCTGGCCAGCTGCTGTCAGAAGAGAAGAGGGTTGAGATTTCCCTGCCTTTTCCTCGCTCTTTTAGTAGAGCTGCTTTCATCTATTCGGCAGCTGATTTTCATGGAAGAGTGGGAAGTCTATCAAATGTGGCTGAAATCGATCAGCTGGTTCAAAGGTTATGGTGAGGGCACAGATAAGGCAGTCCATGTGCTGTGCCACGTCATTACAGGTTCATTGCTTAGCCAAATCGGGGGAGAGGAAAAAAAATAATCTTGGCTGTTCAGAGATATAGTCTTTTTCGATTAAAGCAGGAAGAATGTGTGCAAGAACATCATCTCTGAAATTTTGAGAGGTTGGCTTCTCCCATTTAGAAAGAGGAAGTGTTGCCCCTCATGTATTTGCCAATACCAATTGTTGTACTATCACATGAGAGGAGAGGGAAAGACTCTGTTCTCAGAATTCTGCTTCCTCTTTCAACACCTCCAGACACGTGGGAAAAGGAAGGATTTGTGCTGACTGCTTTGTTTGTTTAACTTTTCTTTGATATGGAATGCGGTGTCTTTAAAGAAACAGCTGGTTTAAGTTCATGTGAGCCCATCTTTAACCTACTGTCTTATCATTGTCAAAAAGCCTTTATATAGTGAATTCCAAAATGAAAAATATATTAAGATTCCAGCTGCACCACGACTAGCATGAAATAGGAATGAATTCCCCAACTCTGCATCTCAACAGGTCTCCAAAATTTCCAGAAAGTCCGGAGACCTGTACGATCCTAGCAAAGGTTCAACCCCCAATCATACCATGCTCCAGTTGCCTGAGGACATCAAGCTGACAGAGCTGTTAGACTACACCATTGCTAGTGTTATTCTAATGCACATAACTTGGTAAATAAAATTAGGAGATTATATGCCACACAGAGCAGAAATGAAGGCTCCAGTGCAGAATATATTTAATAAAGATCATCCTGAAAGGGCAGAGAGACATTCTGTGAAATCCTGATTCGATTATCTGGTGCCAGAAGTCTTATTTCATGTAGAGCTAACCTTGTAGTCAGGGCATCCTCTAACACTGATGTCTGCTTGCTTGTCTGCTCTCCCTTCAGTCATATAAGCATCCAGCATGTGCGTTTGTGTAGCAAAGCATCGTTTGTATTCCGGTTTATAAAGGAATTCAAAAGTAATGTTAAATAATGATTTGACCTCGTGGAGAACTGCGATTAATGCGTCATTGCTGACTTCTCACCTCAGGTTAAATCGCTTTGCTGCATTGTCCTTACAATTCCCTCAGTTCTTAAATGAGGATTATGGTATGCGGATACTGCAGTGATGGGAAAGACAGAAGCCCCCTAAGTAAGCGGACGGACATCGTGAGCATAATGACAGAGCAAGCAGGAGAGGGGTAAGGCCTGTAGCTAACACGTACAGCACCCGAAAAATCTCAGCAAGGCTGTTCAACACACCATGAGGAGGGCAGGGGAAGCTGTACGTTCAGTGACCGTTAGAAGACAGATTTAGCTTGCTGAACCAGGCAAGGCATTTCTTGGATGACTCTCATTTTCTTTGCTAAATATCACTCTTCTGACCTCAGAAGAGGGTTTATGACTAAAAAGACAGTTATAAGCTGTACTTCAGAGCTCCTACATGTGCTGCTCATTGAGACCTGACTTGTGGTAAACGTGGAGCGTGTTCACCTCCAGGCATGATCCACAGCAGTTGAAGGAACCTGCCACAGACAAACAAGGTTCTTCCTCCACACATAGAAGGAACTTTATGTAAAATTTCAGGCACATGATACGAAGCGCAAATACAGAGCAGTGCAACAAGAATAAGAAGAATTCACAGCACTATGAAAAGGGAAAGCCCGTCTCATTTTTCACTTCTGACTTCTCACCTCTAATGTATTTTGTTCACCTCATTTCATATTAACCTGACCCAAACCCAGCTGAGCCATTAATGTCTACAGCTTTTACTCACACATTGCTAAACAGCTATTCCTGGGGATTTCAGGTTTTTCCAGTGTTTTGTTGTTTAATGGGCTAAGACCCAGTATGTTGTTTAATGGGCTAAGACCTGGTTACAGTCAGATAAAAGGACTAAATGACAAGGGGTGATGTATTCAGAAACCCTAATTCTAGCCCCATAAGGCCAAACCCTCGGGCTCTCCCAAGACAGTAGCTCCTTCAGAAGGCAACTACCTGGCATCCTTCTCTGGAAGAGCATCTCTTTCCTTGATGGCTACAAAAAAACCCTAGGCTACTTTTTCCTCTTAGGCAAGGTTAGTCGACACAAATACCTCTCGGACATCTTGTACTCCTTCTTTCTGCTCTGCAGGGAAGTCAGGAATCTAGTTGTGACTGGCACTGAGGCCAGGCATGGCTAACGTCAGATGTCGCAGTGCCACTTGAGAGGAATTAAAGCTGATTTTTATTTTTAAAGGTCAGCCTTTTCTAAGAGCTCCTAAAAGCAGTCCAGATTTTTTTCTTCAGACTGACCTGCAGTTTGGTTTGCTTCAGAGGTCTTCTTGTTCCAAACTGAGTCCTCACAGGATAGCATTTGTAGATGAGAGCCCTTTTCTTCAGCCACAAAAGCCACAGCTTCACTGGGGTGTGTAAAATGAGCCAACAGGCCTGGGGACAAGGTGTAGCCTCTGGCTGTACCCAAATGGGCTGCATGGTCCCACAGGTACCCCAGGCAGTACACGGCACCTAGTGCCTCTTCAGAGAAGCAATAATTTAGAGAAGAGTTGATCTTGAGCTGAGCTTGTGGAGAGTATGATGAAAATTAATCAATAGAATAGGTGAACTTCTAACTGTGTTATGATTCAAACTTCAAAGTATGGAAGTATGCTGCTAACTTTGGCACAGCGTGCCAGGGGTTTTGGCAAAGTGATGAGTAAAACAGACTACTTTGAAGACCTGGGAGTTATTGGAAAAATATTTTAGACATGAAATGCAAAGCAGAGCGGGATGATTAAGGAATGGAGAAGTGGGGAAAACTGAGGCAGAGCTTGTGGTGAACAAAACAGATTGTAGAAGAGGGCAATAAGGTAAGACAGTAAGAGAAGGAACAGGAGTTTAGCAGGTTCTGGTCAAGGGAGTGGAGTGAGCATTTTGGGGAGAAAGGGAACACCGGAGCCCATGGCCTACCAAGGGACTAGGGATGTGATCGCCCACCAGCTCCACATTTTTCTTTTATCTCTCCATATTGGTAACTTCAGTGTCTTCCCTCCCCAGCAGATCCTGGAGGCATCAGGGAAGGCTGGCTGGCTGCAGAGCGCAAATCCGCATCTGCTGGCTGCCTGGCCAGAAAGAGTCCCGCTGAACAGCGTAGCCAGAAAGGCTTTCAGGAACTTCAACTCTACATCAATGACAAGCTATTGAAAAAAGCTTTTAAACAGATTCTTAACCAGAAATACAGCAAAAGAATTTGTGACATTATTACCCATTTTTTTCTGAGGCGGGTTGGGAAATAACGATTATTACTTGGCAAAATGTAATTTTCTAGTAATCATTGGTTATTGAATAAGTGGTACGGAGTGTCTGTGCAAATCAAGACTCCTTTCCCTGATATCGCACTGTCGTGAAAAAGAAAGGTGAAAATAGCTGTTTTACAGAAAGAACTGTGAATAATCAACAGGCTTAGCTGACTGCATGCAATATACTGGAAGTTGCTCATTTGCACTTCCTAATATGGAGTCCTTTCTTATTTCTTCCTTACAAATTGGATTTCCTTAAGTTAATTTTGCACGCTTTCAAGAAATTACTGTAAAAGACTGAAGGCATGGAATGATAATGATATCAAAAAGACAAATGAGAAACCACTGATGAAGTCTTACAGAGGAAATCCTGGCTCCAGCAGCACTGATGTGCATTTACTAACGCTAGGATTTCACCCTGGAGAAAGCACCAGACCAAAGAATCTGTTTAGTAACTTTCAGCTCTTCCGTTTTCCCATCAACTCCGACATCATGTCACTCAAATATTGTCTC